GGCCCGTGAGCCATGGCCGCTGAGCCTGTGCGTCCAGAGCCTGTGCTCCGCAACGGGAGAGGCCCACGCCGCAAAAAAAAAAAAAAAAAAAATCTAACCATGGAAAAAGACTGAAAGCTTTCTTTCTAAAATCAGGAACGGGACTTCCCTGGTGGTCCAGTGACTAAGACTCTGTGCTCCCAATGCAGGGGGCCCGGGTTTGATCCCTGGTCAGGGAACTAGATCCCACATGCCTCAAGTAAGAGTTCACATGCTGCAACTAAGAGTTCGCATGCCCCAACGAAAAGATCCCACACGCGGCAACAAAGATCCTGCATGCCGCAGCTAAGACCCGATGCAGCCAAATAAATAAATATTAAAAAAAAAATCAAGAACAAGGCAAAACCTTGTTTTGTCTACTCTCACCACTCCTATTCAACAGCATACCAGAAGATGTAACAACTGCAATAAGCCTGGAAGAAGAAATAAAAAGCATGCAGATTGGAAAGGAAAAAAGTAAAACTGTCCCTATTTGTAGATAATATGATTGTCTATATAGAAAAGCTCAAGGAATCTACAAAAACCTCCTAGAACTAATAAATGAGTTTAGCAATTTGCAGGATATATGAGCAACACATACAAATCAAGCACATTTCTATGTATTAATAATAAACATAAAGAAACCAAAATTTAAAACGTAATACCATTTACAGTCATGCCAAAGAAAACAAATTACTCAGGTAAGATCTAAACAAAGCATGTACAGAATCTGTTTGCCAAAAACTACAAATCCTGATGAAAGAAATCAAAGATGACTCAAATAGATGTAGGGACATACTGTGTTTATGTATTGGAACACTCAACATAGTAAAGATGGCAATTCTCTCCAAATTAATATTCAGGTTTAACACAATTCCTATCAATATCCCAGCAAGAATTTTTATAAATATAGGCAAGATTATTCTAAAATTTATACCGAGAGGCAAAGGAACTAGCATAACTAAAACATTTTTGAACAAGAAGAATAAAGTGGTAGAAATAAGCCTACCCAATTTCAAGACATTATACATAGTAATCAAGTAATCAAGATTATAGTAATCAAGATTATAGGCTGTGTGGTATTGGTAAAAGGATAGACAAATAGCTCAGTGAGGCA